GCGCCCCCCTCCCGCCGCGGCTCTTCCCCTCCGGCCAGCCCCTCCGCCGCCGCGGCTCCCTCCCGCCCTCGGCCCCATTCCTGCCCCATCGCTCCCCTGTGGGTCTCCTTCCCCTCTCTGCCCCCCCCGTCAGTCCCCTCTCTGCCCCATCGCTCCCCTGTGGGTCTCCTTCCCCTCTCTGCCCCCCCCGTCAGTCCCCTCTTTGCCCCATTGCTCCCCTGTGGGTCTCCTTCCCCTCTCTGCCCCCTCCCCAGCAGCTCCCACTGTGGTGAGCGGAGGGGCCGCCCTGGGTATTTGACTGCCGGGGGAAAGTGTTTCAGCACCACCCGCACTATCACAGGAAAACAAGGGGGATTCGGTACCTCTGTGGGTTGGGGCCCAGGGCTCCTAGAACACTGGAACGGGACGGGACCACGGGAGGTCATGGAGTCCAGTCTTCTCAGGGCAGGACCAAGCGCCGTCTAGATTGGGGTGGGGAACCTACACTCCAGGGCTGTATCTGCCCCCAGCTTGCCTGAATACGGCCCCTGAGGCTCCCGGCTGCCCCCAGCAGCAAGGAGCCCGCGCTGAAGCATCAAGGAGCTGGCGTTGGTGCTCCAGCCCTGCAGCACCCCCAACCCCAGCCTGCTGATGCACTCCTATTCTGCTCCTGCACCCTTCCTCCCACCCAGCCCTCACACCCTCAGCCTGCTCCTGTGCCGTACCACCATCCCAGACCCACCCCCCACACCCTCAGCCTGCCTCCTGGCAGCTCCCTCCCACACACTGAACCCGACCCACCCCAGAGCCTAGAAGGGCCCACAAAGCCTACTAGCCTGAGCCTGGTAAAGCTTTGGTGTGTGAGGGGAAATTGGGGAGTGTCTTTCTGCTTCTCCATCAGGGGCCACATCCGTGAGGTGTTCTTGTTGTGTGTGTGTGGGGGGGGGGGGTTGCTTCTCACTTTTCTGTGGGTCAGCACCCTCCAGCCCCCAAAAAGGTTCCCCATCCCTGACAGATGTCGATCTAACCTGTTCTCTTTGCCCATCCTAGCAGGGCAGCATCAGGCTTTAGAGGTAAAGGCCATGTATTGACAGAAGCACTTCCCTTGCGTTCTCCATATCCTCATGGGCTGTGTCTACACTGGCATGAATTTCCAGAAATGCTTAAAACAGAATAGTTTTCGTTATAGGTATTTCCGGAAAAAGAGCGTCTACATTGGCAGGCTGCTTTTCCAGAAAAGCCCTTTTTCTGGAAAAGCGTCTGTGGCCAATGTAGACGCACTTT